ACATTACATTACAGACATTTATCTTAAGACAAATAATGCACGATACACAAATAAATAAGTTATGGAATATTTCTGATACAATATTTGTGGAAGATTTTGTGCTACTACAATTTCTGTTTTTACAATTTGGAAACGATGCTTCTATTTGATGCATTTTTATTTTACTTGTTTGGTCGCTAAATTTATATAGTTGATTTTCGTTCTTTTTCGTCTGTTAGCCATGATTGTCGTATAAGCCTCATTGTCAGAATTGACCTATAAAATAAAGCCTCATAAAAGTACACCGTCACAAATTTTGGATTTCGGCGTGGACCTAACTGAGGGTCTTTGTTAAGAATGTTGACGTGTTTCTTGAAACGCGTTGCAAAATATTCGCTTTGGCGTTGCGATTATAAATTTTGATGGGATTTGGTAAACAATTTAACCCACATATCCTGTATAATAGGAAACCTGCAATCATATAAATCCATAATTATTATTATCTATAATCAATTTGTGCTTTCTGCAAGCGAAGGTACGTTCCCAATCCATCTGCTGTAAGTGGGATGCTGGGTTTGATTGCTAACTACATCAAATATAATTGAGGGCCCTGCTGATATTAGAAACAAAACAGTTTCATTAATAGATCTCAATTACTATCCTGGGAGTATATCCCATTTATTAAAATTATTTTTATTATTAGGTTTAGTTGCGTTTGACGACTCTTTTTGCGAATTTCTTGATAGAATTAAAACGTTAGCACCTGTGTCACCAATAATTTAAAATATATTGTTCTGTTATTTGGATTAAGTTATGGTAAAATGATATATCAAATTACTTTTGTCAGTTAAATTTATTTGGTGTTGTGTATGTAAGATTTTCTGTGTCGATATTCAATGCGTTTAAACGTCTGAGCGCGTGACACTCACGCCGTATTGATTTGTGATGTCATTTGAATGTAAATAAAACCTTGAGAGAAAGTAAGTCGTTAATTGTTTCTACTTTTCCGTTTGAGTTGCTAAATTTTGCGCTGTTACTTTGTTTAATGCTATCGTTTGAAAGTTCTGTTAGTTTGATTGTAATACGTTTGCCCACCTTCATTATTTTATTTTGTTTTAAACAATTTAATTCTTCTAAAATTTGGGGACAATCGCGTTTATCTCCGAATAAATTGATTTAACTGTTCTTAAAGTCGTCAAAGTTGCGAAATTCAGTAAATCTAGTTTGAGCACGAGCTATCCCTTTAAATTGGATTCCATAAATGATAAAATTAACGTGCGTTGGGTGCGTAGGCTTGGCCACAATTTTGAAGAAAACTTTGGAGTTACGTTAATGGGATTTTAAGACAGCAATGCAGAATGACAAATTCAACTTGAGACCGAAATTGGGATTATCGAAGTCTTCACCACCCCGCCGAAACGCGCAGTGAATTGAAGATGCCGTCCTGAGAAATATATTCGTATCTTGATTCCTGGAATCCCAGCCGACTGCGCGCCAATCGTTGCGCTGCTCAGGGATGATCTTGGCTGAACCTTTGAGATGACCAATTTGGCTGCAGCCAGCACAATGTTTTTTTATTTTAACTCAACTTGAGCGATATTTACCACTCGCTAACGAATGTAGAATTGAATCAGGTGTAGCCTTTCAAAAGCTTTTGACCTTATTTCCCTTGTGTAATAGTAACTGGCTCTTCTCCCCTGTCTTAGAAAATCTTATATACTTAATGTAACAATGAAAGTGTGACGTTACACTGAGAGTTTTGACCTTTTGACAATACCACTCTTATTATTGAGTGTATTATAACGACACGTGCGCCAAAAAATTTAAAAATCTGATCCCTCCCTGTTCTCTTTCTTTTTTATCTCCTCCTCTCTTACTCTGCTTTTCTTCCTTTCTTTCTCTCTCTCTCCTTTTTCCTAAGGTTCTCGTTTCTATATTTACTTCTTTACTCTTTATTGCCTTCACTCTGTATCATGCAAACCCAAATTACCACCTCGCTGATATTTTTATATTTGAGAAAAATGCCTCCTACACCTGGGATTCGATCCGTGTCTGCTAGCATGCCATTTTTTTTTAAGATTAATAAACTCTTTATTTACAAAAATACAATTACAAAATATATATATACATATTGCAATATGGTTTATATATTTATATTTACAGTGTTTTGCTTATTACCTACGAGACGTTTACATAAACAGATACTCATTCTTCATTTTATTTGTGTACAGTCTTATTGTATAGCAGTCTTTTCGTGTATACTATCTTATCAGGTCATATTTACATGTTAATTATTATAATAGGAAAAGTGAGCTGGAAAAACCTATTTGGATACAGTTGGGATTTGATTTTACCATGGGTTTAGGAAGATAGGTAGATGTTCATACGGTAACTTGTACTTGCCAGGAGATCTTTGCCTCGTGATATTTTTAACTAGTGGGTTCACATGATTTGTCGTTCGGTGATAGAATTTATTGCTGTTTTCGTCAAGATAGTCTAAAAGAGGCAATATGTTACATTGCCGCTGAATTGTCGTATTTTTTGTGTATCGATCTGCGTTTACAACCATTCGTAAACATTTGTTCTCGAATTGTTGTAGCTTTTTACGGTATGTTTTGGCGATGTTATGTGCCCATGCTGGGGCTGCATATTCTAGAAGTGGCCTTAGTGTAGCTTTGTAAAGTAACAGTTTGTTTTTGACAGTAAGTACGCTGTTTCTATGCATTAAAGAGTACAATTGCATTAGGGCCGCATTTTTCTTTTAAGGGATGGTGTTTTCCGTTACGTTTTCTGAAAGTAAGCTTTTGGTCAATGGTCACTCCCAAATATTTACCCGCTTCTTCTTCTGGAATTTGTTGAGAGTTTAAATTCACAACGGTGTTGTTAGTGCATTGTAATTTCGTCTTCTGTCGCTGTTAGGTAGTTCTGATTTATATTAGGTTTACTTTATTTTCCACTGTTTATAAATTTCAACCGCTACCAAGTGGTTCGTAAAATATTACGACCAATATTTTCGCGGGCTATTCAGAGCTGCTATATAAAATGGCATCATCTCGCGTAAATAGCGCAAGTTTCAGGCCGTTTGTTTTTGGGCAAAGTCGTTGATAAATAAACCAAAATACTTGGTCCCAGTATTATGATTCTTGTGAACGCCTGCATTTAGATGGATTTGGCTTCTGGATTTTTCACTTTGATATTTTTACGCAGAGTTTGCGGTCTGTTAGAAGCTATGAATTGATGAACAAAATTGCTCTGAGTAGATTAATTGGATCAGTTTGTAAATTAGTCCGTAATCCTACACGGTGTCAAACGCTTTTCATCGTCTAATAGGCCATGTGAACAAGCAATTACTCTTTTGTTCCAGGCTTGTTTGACAATTCAGTCACTCTGGTCAATTGATGTGTAGTAGAGTGTCCCAGCCAAACGCTCAGCAGCAATATATTTAGTGTGTACTTTTATTAAGATTTGCTGTGGAATCGCGGTGTTCTGTAAGTTTACCTAATGTATTGGCGCAAACTTATGTGGACGGTAGCTGCCTGATTCGTGTTGAGATTTTTTTGGTTTTGTGAAATGTGTACGGCTTCGCCAATTTCCACAATTTTGAAAAATACCCTAATCTGGTAATACTGGTGCTGGATCATATTGCTGTGCTGGAACAACAAGTCTTTTCGAAGGTTTCGGAGTACTCGCGTTTTGCATACCGTCGTGGCCCCGGTGCCTCGGTGGTGGCAGGTAAATGCTTTATGTAAATGCGCTTATGTCTGCCGGTTTGACGAAATATTTTCCGCGATTTGTGGCGCGTCTTCGTAAAGGCACAAAGTTATCAACCCCTTTGGAGCTATTTCAATTTATGAGCTTGTTGGTCATTCGATCGTCAATGGTGATCGATGCGAATTTGTTAAGTAAGTACAGTTGCTTGTGGTTAATAGCTTTAAAACGCGAATCCGCTTCATTTCGCATTTTTTTTAATGGCGATACTGTATTGTTAGAATACCGTTTGATGGACGCTAATACTTCCAAATTGAGTTGTTTTTAGGTGTTAATGTTTTAAGCGGTTTGAATCTACGCTTTCGTTTTATGTTCCTGCAATTCCCGCTCTTTTACCTCATGAGAGGTGTATATTTCCGGTGTAGAGTTGGATCTCCAGTAGTGTTGATGGCCCTCTGGCGAATTGTATTTCTATGTTTCGCATTACTAACCTAGTGTTTGCGGGTAATCTTGGTCAAAGAACGCTGTAAATGCGCTTTCTGCTTAACGTGTAAGTATCTGGCTGCATTTGTTTGTCTGCAGTATTTGGGAACTCAAAGTGCTCAAGTCTGTTGCCGAAAGCTTAGAGTTGGGAATTTCCGGTAATTTCTAATCATTTTTTCCTGAAATGAATTCAAAATCATGCTGTGGTAGTCCCATCCTTGTGAATGATTTCGTTCTCAAAAGTATGAGTCGGTAATCAAATCGAATAAAATGGTGGCAGATGAATGTGAGTTAAGCCTCATTCATGGTTGCAGGCTTCTTCTTCTCCCGCTAAGGTTTTAAAGTGGCATCCAATGGGTCCAGGGTACTGCCATTAGCTACCTGGACAGTGTGGTCTGGAAATAGTATGCAAGCATTGCTTGCGCTCACATAATTCATAACGACATTCCCATTTACATCATTTGAGAAACAATTCCAAAGTCTATGTTAACATTAAGGTCGTTGGCAAGAATTGTATTTTTAGGTGGGTTATACCATGTTGTTATGGTAATATTATTGCTAATTTTTATTTGTAGTAATTCCAGATGATTTAAGTTATTATCTACTATTTGAACAAATGAGATATCTTTGCGGATTATTAATGCTACGCCACCACCATTAGCATCGCGGTCTTTCCGCAATATTTCAAAATTTCTTAGTTTTAGTTTATTTGTGCTGCTAATTTTAGTTTCGTTAATAGCCATTATGCGCACGTTGTGATTGATTAAAAATAACTGAATTCTTCTATTTTGTTTTGAATTCCGTTGGCATTCCAAAGATGTATAGTTAAATTAATCATGAATGCTTTGCGTGAATGTGATAAAAATATGAAACTTTTCAGCAGTTGTTGTAGTTCCCACTAGTCTATTATTTAGATCTTTTACTAATTGCAGCATTCTAGTGATGTTTATTGTTTGGTGCAGTATATTAATTTCTGCCATTAGATCATTAAAACTTTCAAAATTTGGTTTCGTGTTTGTGGGTGGTACCTTAGGTGCGTTTGGAATTGTTGTTGGTAATGGTATGGCGGAGGATGACATATCGCATGCAGGAAGTTTTGGAAACTCTTTTATCGCTTGATAATGTGGTACCTGTTTTAGCTTGTTGTTGGTCGATTTCGATTCATTGGTGCTGCGGCTGTTGGGTCCTGGTTTGTTCTTCTGTTTTCCCTTTTGGGTCTTTGCTAGGGCCTCCTTGTACGCGATACACTCCGTGGAGTTCGCAGGATGAGGTTGCAGGCAGTTTGCGCACTTGGGGGGCACACTTTTTAGTTGTTTGCATTCGAAGGATGCATGTTGTTCACCACACTTCAGACACACGTATTTAGCATTGCAGTTCGTGGTTGCATGACCCCATTCCTGGCAACGCTTGCATTGCGTGATAATCTTTTTATTTCTGTAGTAGGCCCAGCGAATTCTGGTGTGCCCAATAAAACAGAAATTCTTGTTTAATTCTTGTACGGAGTGGTTTTCATTTAGAAGAACCATGTACACTGGATCTCTGGTGTTCTTTAATCGCATTACCCGATCGGCATTTATTTTTGTTTTGATCTCTTGTAGCAGTTCATCTTCGTTGAGATCCGTGTACAAGTTGTAAATAATTCTGGCTGTTTTTCTTTCATCCTTTGGTGTATAGGAGTAGTAGTCCGAGCCTGCTTCATTTAGGTGGTTGATTAATTTGCTGCGATCTTCCTTCAGTTTGCAGTAGATGGTTGTTCTGTCTGACCCAGAACTTATCTTTCCCAATAACGTCGATAATAATTTTTTCGAATTCGGACGGCGAGTTTGGGCGGCTTCGGATTATAATTAGTGGTGGCTTTTGTTGCTTTGGTTGCTGAATTTCAGCGACATCCATCTCCTCGTTGTCTTCAAGAGCACTAAACATGTTGTTCGTTCTTAGATTATAATGCGTTGTTGGTAGCTGCGCTTGTAGTCGCGAAGCCGTGCTGGGTTTTGTTCCTAGTGTTGTTGGATTCATGTCCATTTTAATTTTCTTTGATGCAATTACACAATCAGAGCCATCAGACTCTTCCGATTCTACTTCTATTGCTTTTTTAGCAATGCTTAAAAGTCTTTCATTTACTGGAGCCATGACTCCATTAGTTTTAAATTTAACTGTACCCAACAGAGTTGGGCACGGTTTGTCAGTTGGTTGTTTAGCTTTAATTTCGAACGCACTCTATTAATTTCGGATGCACTAAGTAAAGAGCTCGGCTCGCTCAGTTATTGCTCAGACACGTCCGTCACCCACGATGGTTGAAACGGAACTCCTCGCTAGCATGCCAGCAGGTGCACGTCTCCACTCGACCACCGAGTGTTTTTATCATTATTATTTGATTCATCTATTTATGTTTCAACTTTTATCATGTTTTTAAAACAACAACAAAATTCAAGCAACAGTTATTCTATACCAGCGCCATACTTTTTAATACTGAAAACGACAAGGATGGTACCAAATAGAAATGTGAATAAGACTATAAATGTAACAAGTGTTTTATTAAAAACTTATAAAAATACATACATAGTTTTTAATCAAGAAAACAATTTACGTCTATCAATTCCCGTAGCAGTAAAGACTTGCCTTAAAGTACGCGCATATCCAACACATCCGCTATAGGTATTGTAAACTCCATGGATCGGGCCCACACAAACTTCTTCTGGGCACCAACGTTGTTTATCTGTAGGAAATAATTATAAATCAAAGTTTCTCCTATATGTCGATGGGCACGCACGCTGTGCACATGTACTCGTAGACCAACACGACTTATATTCAGTGACGGCCGACGGAACATCACACGCGCACCGGTAAACCGACGATTAATTCGCGATTGTCGTACACTCAACGCGTGCAATTAAGTAGTAAAACCACGTCCCCGGTGTGTACTGGCAATTGGGTATTGAAAATCGATGAATTTTCTTATTAACGATCTAAAGAATCAAAAATAGTCGCGATGAACACGCGATTCATTGTGCACATTAATTAGTTTTTAATGCAATTATATAAAAATACCAACGGAAACAAAATTTTTACTCATAAACTCCACAGGGGGGAACAATTCACATTCATCCAATAAGGATAATAAGCGATCAGAAGATGTTCATCGGTACTTGCGCATGCAGAAGTTAAGAATTCGGGTAATACCCGATTCAAAGAAATACGCATTAGATGTTTAAAAGTAATATGCCGCACAAATGATATTAAGTCTAAAGGTTCTAAAATTAGTGAAGATTACTTCGGGTCATAACATTGGTTTGTTATATGAGGTGAATACAGGTATGTTTTGAGCACACATACGTGAGTTTGATCTGATTTGTTTGTAATGCTCTAGCGAAGTGAAATTGGAATACGTATTTATGTTTAATATGCCATATTCTCACATATATTTATCATATTCTTTCTTTAATTTTTCATTTTTGGCAAATTGGCGTTCGAGTTGCAGAAATCTTGCGGCAGCACGTTGTTTGGATACTCCTAAGACCGATTGGTCAGTACGTAATGGAATGCTGACCGTATATTTGCCATCCTCTCCGTGAACCGTGGTTGTTTGAAAGTGCTGCTCGCATTCCTGCTCTTCGATTGTCATGTTGTTGGTTGTGATTGGACACTTATCCAATATCCATTCTGCACATATTAGTTCCAAATCAATCATTTTCAATGATGTTCTTTTCATAGAAACAAAAATCATAATCCATTTCTTTGATCAAATTCTGAGATGGTATCCAGCAATAAGGATTGCTTTTATAGGTCTTAAATATTACATTTTTAACCTCATCTGTTATATCAATGCCCAAATTCTCTTCATATATAGGTTGTATACAGTCTTGACATTTTATATGATAGTGACAAGTTGATTGAAAATTGATATTAAAATTGTCAGATTCCAATTCAGTATATAGATTGGCTGGTTTAAAATTGTTGGTTGATATGGACATACGAGTAGCATATCTATACAATACAGATATAGATGCCTTATGATCTGTTGCCGCATCCATCCATCGATGTTCTAGAGAACCAGAGATTGAGTTTTTATTAGGGATAAGAGAATCAGGATCAAGATCTGTTACAGATCCTAAAATTCCTTTCACTAACATAGCTAAGTTAGAATCTTTCTCAGTACCCCATCCTATTAACGAAAGATTTTGTATTCCAGCTTGCAATAATGGTGGTGCAGTTTTTATCAATTTACTTCCAGCAAATGATACTTTTACATCGGTTTTCTTTCCAAAAAATGACTTGAATGGTCCAACAATGTTTGTTTGAATATCTATTTTTTGAAGAAAATTAGAATGATCCAGAATATTAGTCATAGATATAAATCCAAGATGATGGTTATGATGTGATTGATTTATACATGATTGACCGTGTGAATGACAAACTGCAAACAGCTCAATAGGTTCAGCACAAGTTACACCGGTGATTCTTTTCCCCCATGACAGATCCCTCAATTTTTGTGCCATGAAAACAGAACAATTCGTTGACCATCCTATATCAAGATTTATGTTGCTGAAATTGTGATAAAGAATGCTGGAGAAATAATTCCATTCAAACTTTTCATAAAGATTATGGATATCATCTATAGTTCGTGTAGGTTTCATAAATTCAGAATCAGGATCCATATTTTCATCCTGTAACTCTTTTAATGTTCTTTCAATGTTCTTCCATTATCTTTAATCACGAGACCCACATAGTAGATGTATTATTGATTTTCTTGAGGACTTTTGATGCTCTCCCTATAACTGTAGAGTTGAGGATCGAATTGGCAGCTCTAGGGTTCAGAGGATTCATACATGTAGTTTCTGTCAACACTGTTTGTTTCTCAACAGCTATTTTAACAAATTCCAAGAAAACTTGATTCGTAAAGTTATGTTTCTTTATTGCTGATCCTGATAAAAAATCAGTAGTTAATTTCTTAATCTTTTCACTAGCAGTAGATGGACTCATTAAATTGATAGAAGTTGGATTTGTTATTAATTTTTCTGGACTTATATAGGATTCAAAATACACTCTAATATCTATCTCAAAACTCCAGAATCAGCATCTAAGTTTTTCATAAAATTTTTAATGATTGATTAATTGATGGTCAAAGGATCAGGAAATCCATGAATTATAAGATCCCCGATACAAATAACTGGATAGCCTCCCAGAACTGAAGGTCTGTATAAAATGATTTGATATATGAAATCATCACGATTCTTCAATTTGTTATAAAAACTGATGGGTATCGAATACGTTTTAAAAAACAGTGACTTCTTGACTTGGTAATCGAAAAGCATTTGAGGTTTTAACCAATTTCTGCCAAGGGAGACGAAAAAATGTATGGATCTGGGATCAGATTCTGGATGCTATTGATCCAGCATCTTGCAGATTGGCAGACCTGGCTGGTTTGCCGTGCCAATAGCCATTTGATCCTCGCACAGTGAATCCATCTTTTTGCCTATTGCGTTGATTTTGGCTGGGAAGCTTGTGTGCAAGGCTGCTGGGGCACGTGCTGAATATTCTTTGCTGCGCCGCAGGGTTGTAAGGCTTCGACGCTACGTAGATAGAAGAGCTTCTTTGGCTTCTTCTCTCCTCTCTTCAAGTGATGCTGTTGCGGATGTAGGTCAAAACTTGCTACTCGATCCACAAGTATTGAGCGAACAGTGCCGTAGTCGACACAGGTTGTAAGGCCGTGGCGGTGCTTTGTTTTTACGAACTCCGTGGAGTCCATGCGAATGGATGTCAGAGTTGATTCCAACAATCCGAATCCGGTTCGAATGACCATGTATACGCGCTGCGTCTTGCTTTGGTGATGACTCCGGTACGAGTTGCCCCTTGGTGTACGTTGGCACGCTGTGCTACGTGGACGGCGCTGGTACGAGGAGTTGGCACGGGTTGTGCTCTGGAGATGACGTCGTGGCGCGGGTTGTAAGGCCGGCCCTTATTACGACACTTACCACGTGCTTGGTTTATAACGCAGGAGTGCAGCGGACACCGAAGATATGTAGCAGGCAAAGGGTGTCTGCACGGCACAGGTTACGAACTAGTTCTAGGATATGTAGCGGAGTACAGTTTAAGAACTAGATCGAGGATATGTAGCCGGCAGAGTGAACTCGCACAGTATAGTTTACGATCTAACTTTATTTTTACAAAACGTACAGCTTATATAATACTTGTTATCAATGTACTTAGATTAATGACCGTCTATAGGGCGGAAGGTCCGACGGTCAAGCGATGGTGCCGAGCGCTCGATGCGTGTTTACCCAGTATATCTACTGTTTGACATTCTTAGTCAAACAGCGTTTATGTAAATAATTAATTCTAGGTAGAAAAGATTGAGGTTGACGATCAGTGCCTTTAAAAGAAACTAATATGTCATCAACAAAGTGATACCAATAAAGGCAGATTTTGAATGAATTTGCAGATTTTATTTTTGTATTTATTTATTTTTTCAAATGCTGCCATAAATATGTCGGCAAGTAACGGATTTAGGAAATTTCCCATTGCTAGTCTTTCCGTTTGGTGGTAAAATTTATAGTTGCAT